TTCTTTCATGGTGGAAGGTCTTAAAGATTCGGCACTGTCGAATAATTTATTCTTATTTTCCAAATACAGAAATTTAAGTTAATTCAATATTATTTTTAATCTTGAGCTGAAATAGTTCATTCAATTTACCCTCTATCACATTAAATTAAACATAACACAAAGGTACAATTTAATTATATCCTAATACTCAAATACAATTTTTTTCTTTTTCTTTAATTATAAAATCTTATAAAATAAATTGTGAAATAAATATTATCTAATCTGATATTATTTTTTTTTTAATAAAAATAACTGAACATGTGTATATTTGTTGGAATTCTTTCGTATTTATTTCCAAAGCAACCACACTTCTCTCTGTCTCTTAAATCCTCTCAATGTATTCTAAAATATTGCTAAATGTTACAAACTATTATTATTATTGAAATAAATGAGAACTTATTCAAAGTCAATAAAATAAAAAGAAAAACAAAAAATGAACAAAAAAACATAAAATCTATCAAAACCACATATTTATTGGTACACAAATGCATACACATGTACTTACATATATTAGATCGGTCGATAAAAAATCGCATTGAAAACACATTACATTGACCACATACACAAAACCAGTTACAAAGTTACACACACACACCAACATGTATGTATATTCATTCCCCTCCCCCTCTTTATTACACAATTCCATTACAGAACTGCATTTGAATTTTATAAAAGAAAATAAAAATAATGTGTACTGAAATATTATTAACAAAAAAAAAAAAAAAATAATAACGTTAAAATGCAAATCATTGTGAAAATATTTAAGTGGAATGCAAATCATTACCATTATATTTATAATAAATAATAATAATTTAGCTGTATAAGTATTCGAGTAGTTATTCGACGAGTATTCGCATAACGTAAATTAAAACTGGAAAAATGAAATGTCAAAATTGACAAGATCAAACGATATAAATAAAGATTTTGAAATGTATTTGAAAATTTGTTTTTTTTTTATGCTGGACGAATGAAGGGGAAAAAGGTAAACCAACAGACAGTTAAAATTGACTTAAAGCCGGTGTTTGCAATCTTGGGACAACTAGAAAGATAGATAAACTTCGTAAGAAATAGAGAAAATGCAACTCTGTATTTTGTGCCAATTAGACTTCTAATTTTATTCTCAAATGCGGTGAAAATGGATATTTTCTTCTTCTTCAAAATTCAATACAAAAGAAAACAAGTAAAAAAGCAGCTATATTCGGCCGGGTCGAACTTTTAATACCCTCCAACATTTCGAAGCAAACATTTCAAAAAAGTTTCGAAAACTACCACTTAAATGAAAACCGTTATATGGGGACTATACGAAGACGTGGACCTGCATACAAACAAGCATATGTCCTCGACTCGAAAGACAGGGAGAACTGCAAAGGATATGCTCACGTATCTCCATCTCTCGTTCGCCTTTATATAAGATTTGTTATTTTGTCTTTTTAATGGTAAAACTTGTAATGGTAAAACAAAATTTTTTGTCATAGACTGTAGTGTCTTTTACGAACTTCAAATACGAAATTTGTTACAATTACGGTGAATAATGACTCAAAAATCATGAAAATGTGGAGTATCGGGTGTACCGTCATTTGGCGGCTAAAAATTGCAAAAATCATGAAAATACGGAGTATCGGGAGTTACCGTCATATGGGGGCTATACGAAGACGTGAACCTGCATACGAGTTTTTTGCCATAAATTGTAGTTCCCATTTAAGATCTTTCAATACGAAATTTGAAACGATTCCGGTGAATAATGTTGCTAGAATCATGAAAATACCGAATATCGGGAGGTACTGTTATATGGTGGCTATACGAAGACGTGGACCTGCATACAAAATTTTTTTTCATAGGTTGTAGTACCCACTAGGATCTTCCAGTACGACATTTGAAACGATTCCGGTGAATAATGTAGCTGAAATCATGAAAATGCTGAATATCGGGAGGTACCATTATATGGGGGCTATACGAATACGTGGACCGACATAGCCCATTTACGAACTTAACCTGCCTACTGGCAAACTCTGCATGTATGCAAAATTTTAGCCTTCTATTTCAATTCGTTCGAAAGATAGCGTGATTACAACTGACAGACGAACAGACAGACAACCAGCCAGATATCGCTAGGACGTCTTACAATTTTACGCTGATCCAGCATGTATATACTTTGTAGGGTCTATTATGAATATTTCGAGGAGTTTCAAATGGAATGACAAGGTTAATATACCCTCCATAGAATGGTGGAGTGTATAAAAAAATATGGTCTGTTCCAGAAATGCAAAAATGTAAAAGTTTTTACTACGATAACCGGATTTCCCTTTCAAAAACTAAAAGATTCCTACAGGTTTCGGAACAGACCAATAGTTTCATCCCGAAATTCAAAAATATATTTACCATGGTCGTTGAATATATTTTTTGTCGGAACTGACTTTGAAACTATTTGAAATTGGGTACCAAGAGAAAAATAAATAATTGTATGGAAGCAGGAGGTAAGCTTAGTAGACGAAAGAATCAGAAAAAAATATTGAAACCTAAAATAACGAACGGAGGTAATTTATACCCTATACTCTCAGCCATATTATACCCTCAGCCATAAAGCTACAGAGGATATACAGGGTGAGATGGAAAAACTGCAACCAACTTCAGAATGTTGTCATTTCTAAGCCACTTGCCCGACAACTGTTTTAACGTATTCCAGTGACAGCTCGTTATATTGTATACAAGCGTACAAAAGCATTTTGGTGAGAATTTTCCAGAAAAAAAGTTATTCGTGATGGAATTCAAGCGTGATAGTGTGATTTCTTTATATTTGGCTGGAAACCCACAAGTGGCTATCGTTAGAGCACTCCAGCATTTAAATGTGAATAAATCTTTTTTTGTCGCGTACCATCGCTCGTTACCGTGATACTGGTAGCGTAGCCGGACGTCAAGGAAGTGGACGGAAGAAAACAGCAACATCAGCAGAAATGGTTCGAAAAGTAAAGAAGCGACTTGATCGAAGCTCACGTCGCAGTGGCCGAAAAATGGCTCGTGGGCTGAACATATCGCAATATTCCATTCGGCAAATATTGAAAAATGAGCTCGGGTTAAAGCCATTGAAATTCCACAAAAACGCAAGAACTTCGACCGCAACAGAAAGAAAATAGACTCAAAAGAGCTTAAGAGTTGTTTCGCTTGGCCGAATGTGGTGAACTGCCGAATTTGGTTTTCTCCGATGAGAAAACATTCGTTGTCCAGCAGTTTGTAAACAAACAAGATTGTCGTTTTTACTTGCCAAAGAGGTCAGCTGAAAATGTGCAACTTCGGTTGGCCACCAGAACTCAAGCGCCGGCCATGGTGATGGTGTGGGCCGCCATAACAGCCGATGGTCGCTCTCCTCTCGTATTAATCAACCGTGGTGGTATCAGAATAAATTCCGAATATTATCGCGAAAATATTATGGAGGGTGTATTAAAGCCTTGGGCACGCAAACATTTTGGCCGCAGACCTTGGACTCAGCACGCGCCACCCGAGAATGGTTACAAAATGAGACTTATTTCCAGCGCACAATGGCCACCAAAATCTCCGGATGCTAACCGGTTGGACTATTGTGTTTGACATGTTTTGGAAAGCAAGATTGGGACTAAAAATACCAAAGTGCTTTGACGGGAACGGGCCAAAATCCCACGAGCAGTATTTGGGCTGCGTGTGACGGTTCCATTGGCCATTTGAAGTTCATAATTCATGCCAAAGGTGACCAATTCGAACAACTCTTAACATATTCTAGTTTTTCTTTTAACTTATTCTGGTTTTCCAGCCAAATATAAAGAAATCACACTATCACGCCTGAATTCCATCACGAATAACTTTTTTGGAAAATTCTCACCAAAATGCTTTTGTACGCTTGTAAACAATATAATGAGCTGTCCTTGGATTAATTTTAACAGCTGTCGGACGAGTGGCTTTGAAATAACAGCAGTCTGAAGTTGGTTGCAGTTGTATATTACTTTATACGGCCAAAACGTGCCTCATCGAAATAACGGTTTAAGACCCTAGGTCTTTTTGGACCAAAATCCGTTTCAGGACATTTGGAGTCGATCTAGTGATGTCCGTCCCTCCGTCCGTCTGTCTGTCTAGGTGGTGCGCACGATAACTCTCGAAGGGAGCATCGGATTAGCTCCAAACTTGGTACATGGTAATATTATTATAAAACTTAGATCGGGTTCGGAAATGGGCAATATCGGCCCACTCCATCTGGTACCTCCAAAAAAATTTTCAAAATATAATTTTTAATAATTATAACTCTTATAAAATGTGATGTTATTGTCCGATTGTCTTCAAATTACACACATTACAATATTTTTACTAACCCAAGGTCTAATGTTAAGATGGAATATATCGGTCCACTTCTTCTGATACTTCCCCCACAAAATGTCGAAATTTAAAAAAAAAATATATTTTCTGCACAGAAAGAGAAACGATAATCCGATTTTCCTCCAATTTTGCAAATCGAAATATTTGCGTCAGAGCTAGTTTTGGTGCGAAAATGGACAATATCGGTCCATTTCATCAAGTATCTTCCCCACAAACGGTCAAAATTTTGAAAAATTATAAGTCTTATAAAATGTGGTGTTAGTGTCAGATTGTCTTAAAATTATACATATCACAATATTTTTATTAAGCCAAGGTATGGTGTGAAGATGAAATATAGCGGTCCACTCCTTCTGGTACCTCCCCCACAAATAGTTCAGAATTTTGAATATTCATGAAGTTCATAAAACACGAAATTAACATCCGATTCTATTCAGACTTGGTACATTTCAATAATTCTATAAACACAAGATCTTTTATAAATATAAAAGAGATCGGACCATTCCTTCTGGTAGCTCCCTTACAAAGGGTCAATAGTTTGAATAATCATAACTCAATTCTGGGGTATAAATCTGCCGGCAAACCTGACTGATACTATTTTACCTGTTAACTCCAATTTCATAATCTACAGGGTTAAAATGATTTTATTATTAAAAAAATGAAACAAAAACATAACAACATTTAAATATTTCACAACTAAGACCTAATTCTTTTTCACTTTCTTTCTTTCTCCTCCAATAAATGCAAATCTACAAATTTTCACAATTCCCCAAATCGTCATACTCAAAACTGCCAAAAATCCTCCCAATAAAACTCCAATAGTATCTATACTATGACTCTGCAGAATATTCATCCTCTGAGCTGGACTGCGTATGTGTTGGGCACCACCATATCGCAGGATATATTCGGTCCAATATATCGCCAAATCTAATGGCTTCATGGGTTTGTCATGATATCTCTGTGAAATCTCTTTGATCTTTCGGCTATAACTGCCATTATTCATCATTTCCAAAATACTCTCCTTCAATAGAGAAGGTGTTAGAGTTGCGATATCCAATTTTATGGCAAAACCTCGTTTCTGGGCATTGTTAACATTTAAATTCTGATCGAAAAATATGGGTATGCCCAACATTGGCTTGGCGTGATGAACTGCCTCGAAGGTGGACAACAGTCCACCATGGGAAATAAACAACTTCACTTTCTTCTCGGCTAAGATGTCTGCTTGCGGATACCATGGATTGATGAAGACATTCGACGGTTTTCCAGGTAACTGGGGATTTTCATATTTCCAAAGCACTGTATAGGGTAGTTGGGCAAAAACTTCATTGAAAATCTGCAGGGTCTTTGGGGGGAAATCTTTGCTTTTCACATTTGAACCCATGGAGAAATATATTATATCCTGCTCTGAGTTGTCAATAATAGCTCTTATATCTTTAGGCAGGGGATTCGGTTCGCTGGGAATTTGAAAACCTCCCACTTCGATCATGTTCGGCACATTGGGCCGGGCAAAAGAGAGAGAAAAATGTTGATTCAATAAAAATAATGAAATATTTTTTCGCAAACTGCTAACGTGCTGCTTAATATGAGGCATATAGTACTCCTTTAGTTCCTCCTGCCGTGGCAAGTGTATCCAATAATAATGCAAGAGTTGCAGTAATTGTATCACAACATTTTGCAGACGTTCCCAGTAGGTCATTTCCTCGGTAAATGCCGAACCCATTGAGGGCGTATAGGCGAACGGTGCAGGATTACCCATCAGATCATTAATAATCAGGTCGCTACCAAAACTCGAAACTCCTATAATTGGCATACCAAAGTGTGGTCCAAAGCTGTACCAAGCTTCGGCGTTAATGGCTTCGATTATGGCCAAATCGAATGACTCATTCTTGAGAAGTTCTTGTACTTCTGGACATCTCAGCACCGATCTGGTGACGTTGTAGAAAAATTCTGCAGTAAATGTTAGATCAGACCATACGTTTCGCTTTATCACTGCACCCTGCATATAATCTGGAAGTGAGAGAAAATAAAAATATGAGTAAAAAAAGCTAAAAATATCAGTCGTGACCTACGTTTGACATAAATATTCCAACATACCGAGTTTGAACTTAATCATGAATCTGTACGAGAATATTTTTTTAAATGTCGGAGCCTATCTGCTAATTTGATACCATTTGATCTATTTCTCTCCTACAAAATATATTCATTAGGGAGGCTCACCCGAGAACAAGTTCAAGGAGTTCATAATCATTTATACCGCTCGTAAACCAATTGTGACTGCTATAGGCAAATTAAACTGAATACAATAAATTAATTTGACATGATATCACTGGCCTACACGACTTTTGTTTCCTCCGACTTTTTTTGTTTGTTATCGGGCATTGACATTGTGTTATTATAATCGTGACCGCCGTACTAATCATGATTATAATAACACAATGTCCGTAGGCAATAGAGAGCTTTTGTTTTCGAAAATCTACACTTTTTTATTTTAAGCCAATATAAATATGGATGGTTTAAGACGTGGGACAAATATTTTGAAGTCTTACAATCCCTTTTGTCCAATCATACCTATAATGTACAATATAAAACGAAAATTCTTGAAAAATATTAGGCTAACGACTTTTTTGTTAGCATTTTTTAGAAATGTTTTTAAAAATTTCAAAATTTTTAGGCATGAAGACTTTGGGATTATAAATATTTTTTTAGGTGTTTATGATTCTTTATCAGAAAGCTCTTCGAAATAATCCACTATTTTTTGTGAGAAAATGATTTTCAAAAATCCACGGCATTTCTTCAGACTCGGCCGACTTGGATACCCCCTTCAAGAGTTATCATGCGAACCGAAAATTATTTCAGTGACAGCTCATTATATTGTTTACAAGCGTAAAAAAACATTTTGGTGAGAATTTTCCAGAAAAAAAGTTATTCGTGATGGAATTCAAGCGTGATAGTGTGGTTTCTTTACATTTGGCTGGAAACCCACAAGTGGCTATCGTAAGAGCACTCCAGCATTTATATGTGAATAAATATTTTGTGTCTCGTACCTTCGCTCGTTACCTTGATACTGATAGCGTAGTCCGACGTTAAGGAAGTGGACGGAAGAAAACAGCAACATCAGCGGAAATGGTTTGAAAAGTAAAGAAGGGACTAACAGAAAGAAAATAGACTCAAAAGAACTAAAGAGTTGCTTCGCTGGGTCGAAAGTAGAACTGCCGATTTTGGTTTTCTCCGATGAGAAAACATTCGTTGTCCAGTTTGTAAACAAAAAAAAAAAAAAAAATGATAGCCAAAGAGGTCAGCTGAAAATGTGCACCTTCGGTTGGCCACCAGAACTCAAACGCCGGCCATGGTGATGGTGTTGCCCTCCATAACAGCCGATGGTCGCTCTCTGCTCGTATTAATCGACGAATGTTACCGCGAAAATATTCTAAAGGAAAACGCAAACATTTTGGCCGCAGACCTTGGACATTCCAACAGGACTCAGCACCATCGCAATCATCACGCGCCACCAAAGAATGGTTACAAAATGAGGTTCCTCGCTTCATTTTCAGCGCACAATGGTCACCAAAATCTCCGGATACCAATCCGTGGGGCTATTGTGTCTGGAGTATTTTGGAAAGCAAGGTTAACACTAAAAAATACCAAAGTGTCGATCACCTCAAGCAAGTGCTTCGCCGGGAATGAGCAAAAATTCGGGCAGCGTGTAACGGTTTCATTGGCCGTTTAAAGGCAATAATTCGTGCCAATGGTGACCAACTCGTACAAATCTAAACTTATTCTAAAATTTGATGCTTTTTCCGACATTTTTATACCCTACACCACAAGGTGGTCAGGGTATTATGTCTTTGTGCATTTGTTTGTAACAGGCAAAAGGAAACGAGATAGACCCATAGTTCCTTTTGATGACCTGCATCGAATCACATTTTGAGTCGATTTATGCATGTCCGTCCGTCCGTCCGTCGGTCTGTCCGTCTGTCCATGTATTTTTGTAAACAAAGTACAGTTCGCATTTGTTGCCCTATCCAGATGAAATGTTGCACAAATCATTTGTTTGGCCCAAGGACGAACCCTATTGAAATTGGAGATAATCGGACAAAATTTAGATATAGCTCCCATATATATCTTCGTCCGATTTGCCTTATATTGTACACCAAACGTGTAATATTAGTCCGAATATTATGGAATTTTGCACGTACGATCAGATTGGACCTGAAAATAAGTATGCCAAATTTGATCGAAATCGGTTCAGATATAGTTATAGCTCCCATATATATTGTTCATCCGATTTGTTATTTTATTCCTCCGCTGACGTAATATGCACTCTGTAACAACGATATTTAGGGAAATATATCAAATACAGCTCAGAAATACATTTGCTAAATTTTATCGAGATCGGTTCAGATTTGGATATAGCTGCCATACATAACTTCGTCCGATTTACCTTGGATTGTGCACCAAACGTCTAATAATTGCCCAAATTGGATGAAATTTGGCACTTACGACCGAATTGAGTCTAGAAGCTAGTATGTCAAATTTGGTGAAGATCGGTTCAGATATAGCTATAGCTTCCATATATACTGTTCATCCAATTTGTCATATTTGTTCCCCACAGCCGTAATATGCACTCCGCAACAACGATATTTAGGGAAATATATCAAATACAGCTCAGAAATATCTTTGCCAAATTTTATCGAGATCGGTTCCGATTTGGATATAGCTCCCATATATATTTTTATCCGATTTCAAAATAATTGTACAATAAATGGGCAATACAATTCCGAATTTAAAATATACAAATGCTTCGGCATATTTAGTCCTTTGAACTTTAAATTATAATTATAATCATAGCGTGTATGATTGAATTCTTCCATAAAAACTTTTAATTGTTATGCGCAGCTCTACTAAATTAGCAAAGTGGTGTAGGGTATCATAAAGTCGGCCCCGCCCGACTTTAAGACTTTCTTTACTGGTTTGCTTTCATTCAGTAAAATTAAAATCAAATGTAAAAATTATGGCGTTTGACTTTGTTGCAGTTTTTTATCTCACCCTGTATATTTGCGAACCCCTTCAGGTATCTCACTCACAAAGGGTCAGAATTTTCCAAACCTTTATTTGTCAAAACTTGTGAAACAACAACCAGAAACCAGGGATGAATATGGAATTTATAATTTAGCATAAAATCGAACATTGCCTGAAGTTATACATCTGTCTTCAAAACCGATTGACACTTTTTAACTTGTTTCCTAAGAAGTCACTGAAAGTATGAGACCTTGACACAAACAAATACTAAAAAATCTTCCGATGGCCTTAGTGAATGAACTCAATTCTGTTTCACGTGAAAATGTTAAAAATAATCTGTGAAAATTTTACTAATTACTAGTTATTTTAAATTTTATTATATATTCTAGCATTATTTTCCGACTTTGCGTAATAATAAGAAATTCACAAAAAATATATTAACCTAGGTCAAACACCAACAAATTTCCCCGACAACATTTGTCAAATAGTTCACACTCACATTTTTGTATTTCATGTGCCTCCATAATAGGTATATCTCGATAATTATTTCCATTATCCTTGGAAGGAAAAGCATTCAGCACCGTCAACTCATGACCGCGAGCTGCTAAAGTTTTCAGATAGGGTTTCACCAAAATATATTGAGATGGTCCGGGGAAAGGAAAAATAGCTAGAATTTTAGCACTTTCACTTTGTTGCGTTAAATTTATAGCCAGATAAGCAACGATCGATATCAACGTGTTTGAACACTTCATCGTTTCGATTTTAGAATTGAACTGAAAGTGTAACAATCAATACCGGTTGTTTTCCACATTAACATCGGAAGAGAATTAATAGAACGATTGCATAGACCCCGACAATGAAAACAATGACTTTTGTACACAATTTAGGGGACTTGTAATCTTTGAGATTAACGATCCATTTGAGAGTTAGATAGGGAAATAGAGAGAGAGAGAGGGTGAGAGCGCCCATATGAAGGTGATGATGATAAGAATCGTTTTGTAAGAGAATGTAGGTTGGTGGGTTACTAAACGAATATGAATACACACGTACGTACATGTGCATATTATTAATGGTTACATTGTTATTTGAACTTGGTTCTGAAATGTTAACAGTACATTTACATTTGGCGTAAGCTTTAATTCAATATGGGAAGTAACGATACACAGTGGTTCAAATTTCATTTTCAAATTTTTCCTGGCCTAAATTCCATTTTTTGCCATTTCCAAGTCTTATTTCTTTATTGAATTTGAATTTGAAAAACCAGTCGACAGATGTATACCCTCAGCCAATGTTCGATTATTTAAATATATGTCGACTTCTATTATGATTATTCAAATTGTTGACCCTCTATGGAGTAGGTTTCAAAGGAAAAGGCCAATATTGCCCACTTCGTATCGGTCCTAAATAAATATCATATAAATATTGCAACGTTGTCCGATCCCTCCTATCTTCATAACAAATCTTGTATTGATAAAAATATTGAGATATGCCAAGTCTGTGTGGAATCGAACGTTAATTTGGCGTTTTATGAGCTTCATGGATATTCAAAATGTTGACCCTTTGTGAGGGAGGTCCCAGAAGGAGTTGACCGATATTCACAGCAGATCTTGTGTTAGTAGAAATAATGCTATGTGTGAAATGCGAAGAGAGCCGGATTATTTCGGATTTTATGATAGTTTTAGTTATTTAAAACACTGACCCATTGTGGGGGAGGTACCAGAAGGAATGGTCCGATCTCTACCGTTTTTATAATAGATCCTGTGTTGATAGAAATCTTCATATGTGCCAAGCCTAAATGGAAACGGATGTTAATTTCGCATTTTATGAGCTTAATGGATGTTTAAAATGTTGACCCTTTTGTGCGGGGAGGTACAAGAAGGATTGGACCGATAACACCAGATCTTGGGCTTATAAAAATATTGGGATGTGTGAAATCTTATGACAATCGGACACTAACATCACACTTTATAAGAGTTGTAATTATTCAAAACTTTGATCCTCTGTGGGGGAGGTACGGAGGACCGATATTTTCCATTTTCGTACATGACCTAGAACTGACGCAAATATTAGGATTTGCATAGTTGTAGCAAAATCCAATTATCTTTTCTCTTTCTGTTAAGTAATGTAACTGGTAACAACACAAGGATTATTTTGGTTGAAAACTTTAATCCTCAAGAGAGTCACCAAGGAGTTATTTTTTTTTTTTTTCCAAAAAATGTCCAAGTCAAAATATTCTATAGAATAATTTGCATTAAAATTCTATTAAAGTCTTAGAATACACCAAGAGTCTAAATCGCTAGAAATTTTTAAAGACATAATATTAGGGTTAAAGACATAATATGTACCTTGGCAAAATTAAGAAGATATAGTCATTTAAAATAATCATATCCATCTCTGCATTTTTGTAATTTACCTTGTCAATTTCACTGAATAAAAAAGGTTTCCATCTCTAAATTCTGTGCAAACAATAGAATTATAAATATAAATTTTTACAATGAGATGCTGTCAAATGAATAATTTAAAAAAATTGTAAACACGTGATTGCCTGACTTTACCTTCTTTATTCTACCATGTTGCCTAGATGAACGACCTAGTTCATCTTGGGAAACCAACGAGAAAGATCGATCCGCTCAGTGAGTTAGATTGAAAAATCTACATCTGAAAATCAACTTCTATGTATTTCAGATTTGTATAGGGAGGAAGGTCTAGAAATTGTGAGACATTTTTAAAACTTTGTCTACAAGTTTTAATTTTCTCCGAATAAGAAGAAGCAAAAAAAGTTAAAGCTTATAAACTCTGGAACAATGAACTGCCAAGCCGATTTTTGAATTGAAAATGTTGAATGAAAAATTATTGAAGTTTGTAAAACTTGTTGATCAATGTATATCATAACAACCTCCGATTTGCATTTTATAAGAGAACATATAAAATTTTCCATATTTTTGACAAAACATTTTAAACATTTTGATGTCAATGTTGTCAAGTGTTGATGCATCTACCTGTATTCTTCTACCATGATACGCAGTTTACTTATCTATTTCACAACTGAAATGTTGTCCACATATCACACGATGTACGCAACTTCCACATAGGGAAAATTAGACATTACATATGTAAAAACCTTATAGTCTGATAACAGCTTAACCAAAGCCCCTATCACATCTAATTCATAGCATATTTATACAATTCTTAGTTTCACACCCACTTTACGGTAAAGTAATAGAGCTTTTTTAAAGTTTCAATATTATGCACAAGATAAAAACTTATTAAAAGCTCTGGCCAATACTTTTACTTACATATATTTGTGTGTATAACAGTGGAACGAAATCCAAATTTCATCACATTTTAAATGGATTGATTGAATAGGTTTCTACATACGTGCTAATGTTATTTCTAATAAGTAATTCCTGCATTAGGTCTGCAGATAAATGACAGATAAAACTTTATCCTAAAATGTGAGTTTAAGTGTCACAAATATTTATTTTTTTTTTCTAAACACCGAATATAATAAATTAAGTAGTGCTAGTAAGATTTCCTTTGATAGAACACTTGCTCAGAAATAAAACCCAAAACTTGTCAAAATTAGAAAGCAATTATTAATAATGAACTTATTAGCCAATTAGTAACTGATTATCCTGTTTTTTACTCCAACAAATTTATGTAGCAAAAATAATATCTATTGAATCAACTTTTGTAAAAAATATTAAAGTAATAAGTTCTTGTTCAGGAACAGAGCTATGATTTGACGAACTTTCATATTTTATTTGACAGAAATAATTTTACGGAAGAAAACTATTCTTTCATATTATTTGAAATAACAAAACCATACGAGAACCCCCCATATTGTAAAGGTCTAAGGATTGAAATACTGAAAAATGTCGTCAATAGTTCAAAGAAGTTTGACCACCGCTTAAGATATATGTATATACACATTCCATTCAAAGTTTTGCTTCAGGACATTTGGTGTATACACCCAACAACAGTGAGGAACTAAAAAAAATAACGAAAATGAAGAACGATATACATTGGGCTGGTAACTGATGGCTAACACAGATGATTCTTTGGAAAGAGTTATTTATTTACGGCATGGAATTGATACGAAAATATCTATCAAAAAAGACTCAAAATGTAAGTAATGACATAATTTTTCAGTGTTTCCTAACAACAATAGACAAATGTATACAAAGGAGGTAAAAAAATAATTTCCGATTGTCTGATAGTTTACATACCCTTGCTCTGCTCCAGAACCAGCAAGAATCTACTTTACAATTTTTTTTATAAAGGAAAAAGCTGTTATCGTAGTAACAATTTTTACATTCTTGCAGTTCAGGAACAGGAAGTATATTTACTTCACCTTGCATATAAAAAACAAGAAGAAATTGTGCAAAGATCGGCCTTCACCATGAGGAAAACACTATAAAATTTAAAATTACATACATACATTTTGGCTGGGAAACTTTAAAACCCAGCTGATACTGTCAGATAACGTTTACTTCAAAACGTTTAGCAACGTTCAAAATTTGTTTTGCTGAGTAGAAAGTGTATAGCACACAGTGAGCTCGAATTCAATACTTGCAACAAATTACCACCAAGAGGCTAGTATACACATAATGTTAAAGTCATATGTAAAGCTACTTTTTCCGCATTTATATTAAGCACTTTTATTACATACTTTTAGGCGCTTCACACGACTGGGCACCCGAAAGAAAACGCTTTATAGCTTAGTATGTATTAATATATTTATAGTATAAATATTAGATGCATATATATGTATATTACATAGCATTGTACAGCATATGATTTTTAAAAATTGTATGGTGCACTTAAAAGTCTGCTACAAAAATATTAAGTAAAAATAGTAAAAGAACTACTTTACATGTGACTTTAACACGATTTGGAAATTGCCCTTAAGCTTGGGTAGTGTAGTTATATTTTTCAATTGAGGTACCAGAAGTAGTGGACCGATATTGCCCATCTTCGAACTCGATCTATATTTAACAATAATAATACGATGTACCAAGTTTGGACTAAATCGGATACTCCCTTCGAGAGTTATCGTGCGCACCTGCCAGCCTGACAGACAAATCGAATAGATCGACTCCAAATGTCCTAAAACGGATTTGGCCCAAAGAGACCTAGGGTCTACCAGTACCATTTGTGTAAAAATTATGATTGTACTTCTTATGTGTAACTAAATATCCTGCTGGGTATTTAACGGCCTCTCCTGATTAAAAGTATTTTGAATGAATTTACCCATTTCAAAAAAATCTCAATATATATCCACCATTTAGTGTAGCCTCATAAGAGAAAACTCGAGACTTCGTGACTTTTCTTAGTTTACGCTACCGGGACTGTCCAATGTTGATTATTTTGAGGGCCCTGGCCGCTTCTCTAGAGGAAAAGGGTGTAATTTTTACAGCCCAGTACGGTGAGTCCCACAGAGTATAAATATACTTGATCAGCATAAAATTCTATGTCGATTAAGCCATGTCCTTCTGGGAAAATCGCTCGAGCTCCGGAACAAAATGAGGTTGATAAAATTTTACTCCGAAATTTAAGTTCACGCGTTGTGGTGGTCCACGTTTTGGTATAGCACCCACTAATGGCGTTTTAGTCACATTAAGGTATTTTAGTAGTCGCAGTATGTCCTTTTAGAAAACTGTTCACATAGATATATATTTGGGTGTAGTCCCCATATAACTTTACCTGCCGATAGTCGTAATTTTGATGATTTTAGCGACATAATTTACCGGAATCGTTTCAAATTTCGCATTTAGAGATTTTAGTGAGTACTACAGCCTATGACGAATGATAAAATAATGATATAATTTTAGCTTACTT